ATATATATTTGTATATATATTTATATTTATATATATATGTATATATGTTTTTAAACTCTTTGTTTATTTAATGAAATTTTCATATTTTTACTTTAATATATATTTAATAAATTTCATAATGCAAATATAAAGATTCGTAAACTTGCTAACTGATAGAGAGAGATATTTACAACAGTAGTCCTATAAATAGAAATTTCATTATCATAATTTATTTAATATATGGTATTTAAAATTTTGTGCAGATATATTCAATTTTTAATTTTAAATAATATATTAAAAAAGTGATCTTACAACAAATGGCTTAAAAGAATCTAGTTGAGTAATAACAAAAGTTGAGTAATAAAAAAATTTTATAACATTAGAATATCATTAAAAGTATTATTTTACATAGTATATATTTTTATTTGCTATAGACTAAATTTTATTTAAGAAATTCTAGTGGATGTTGAAAATTACCAATATTACAATTTAACTCAAAGACTGATTAATTTCTAGAAGAATGAGATACAAACAATTTTTTTAAAAAAAGAAATTTAATAAATTTACTATATTTAAATAATGTGAAAATTTAAGAAATCCATTATTCAATTATTAGATTTATTTATTTTACAAAAGAAAAAGTAATCACTTTAATGAAAGTATCAATCTCACGAGAAAGAAGAGATCAATCTTAAGAATTATAAAAGTTTCATAAAGTACTTTTTTCACTCAGGGTTTTATTTTATTATAAATAAAACTATGATATTTAAATAATGAAAATTTTGAATTTGACATTAAATCTTTAGCGTTTATTTGACTTCAAATTTATTTAATAGAAAATTTTCCAACCTTTTTTTTTGTTAGTTATTATAAATGAAATTTTATATGAAAATTTATAGTTCAAACTTAAGTTCTAAATCATGGATGTGGAGAAAAAATGTAAACGAAAAAAATATTTTTTTAATTAAAAAAAACATAAATTACCTAGGAATGTAAGGCTTTGGACTTGACCATAGGCCCACTAATCAATGCTGCAGTTAGAAAGAATTATTCATATTGACAAATTCAAGATATTCTTTTGATAAAATTAAATTGAGAAAGAAATATAAAAAAGTTAAACTTAGTCTTGGTTTCAAGTGTGGGTTCTGTGAATTAGTATTAAACCTTAATAATTGATCCAAGTTCACATATATTTTATAATATTAATATTTTTATGTGTCCATTTTTATATTTTTTAAAGTAATATATTTATAATATTAATATTTTTATATATTTTTATGTCTCTTTTTATATATATATATGTTTTTTCTTTTGAAAGATAAATAAATTTAATAATCAATATTGAATAATGAATTTTCTACCTTTTCACATTATTTAAGTATAGTTAATTTATTAAAGTCTCTTATATTCTTCTTTTAAATTTGTTTATACCTTATTCTTTTTAAAATTGATCAATTTTTAAGTTAAATTGCAATATTATTAATTTTCAACATCCACTAGAATTTCATAAATAAAATTTGGTTTATAGCAAATAAAAATATATACTATTTAGAAAAATACTTTTAATGACATTCTAACGACATAAATGCTTTCATTACTCAAGTAGGTTTTTAACCAATGTGTTACAAGATTTTTTTTAATATATTATTTAAATATAACGTTATATATTTGTAGGACTACTATTGTAAATATCTCTCTATTCGTTAGTAAGTTTATGCATCGTTTTATTCTTGTTATGAAATTTTTAAATACATATTAATGCAAATTATTTGAAAATCTCATTAAATAAATAAAGAGTTTAAAACCATATACATACATACATACCTATACATTTTTAAGTCTGTTGAAAGGCAAAAGACAAAAAAAAAAGCAATGTACAATTAATATAATATGTATATCTTTAAAATGGTGAAAAAACTACAATTAATTATCACAATTAATAAATAGATATTATTTTATTAAAATTGAAAAAATCAAAAGATATATATAGGCCAAAAACATGTTCAATTATCATAGTTAATTCAAATTTAAATAAGTGAATACTATATTTAAAATTTTAAAAAATAAAAGACAAAAAAAGACCAAAAGATAAAATCAATTATCACAACTAATAGATAAATATTATTTTTAAAGTTGAAGAAAATGAAAAGATTAAAAAGCAAAAAATGAATAATAAATTATTACAGTTAATAGGTAAATATTACTTAAAAAAATGAAAAGGTAAAGCCAAAAAACAAAAAAAAAATACACAATTAATTTAATATATATCTCTTTAAAATTGTGAAAATTAAAAGATAAAAAAAAAACTAAAAAAGCTACAATCAATTATCACAATTAATAAATATAAATTATTTTTAGTAAAAAAAAAATTTAAAGGTAAATAAAGCTAAAAAATATACGATCAATGATCACAATTAATCTAATTTTAATTAAGTGAATATTATTTTCAATACTGTAAAAATCAAAAGATAATAAAATCCAAAAAATACAACTAATGATCGCAATTAATAGATAAATATTATTTTAAAATTAAAAAAATAAAAAAGATAAACAAAACCAAAGATGCACAATTAATTAATAAATATTATTTTTAAATTCAAAGAAAATGAAAAGATAAAGAAAGCCTAAAAGACATGAATAATAGATAAATATTATTTTTAAATTAAAGAAAATGAAAAGGTAAGGAAAGCTAAAAATATCAATTATCATAATTAATTATTAAATTTTATGATATATTATATAATTAATTTTATGATCATTAACAAACATATTTATTGGCAAGTTCATTAATTAAAAGGTATTAGCTTCGAAAGTATAAGTAATTTGCTTGTTTCTTAAAATTAAAAAAATATATATTTTGTGGAATAAGTTCATTTGAATTTTTATACAAAGTTAAAATGTTCAAAAAGTATTAATATGTTGTAACAAATTTTTAATTAAAATTTTTATATATTCTAATTTTATAATCTAATAATTTATAAAATTATAAAAAGAATTATATTGTTTTATATTTATTTTATATTTTTATTTAGATAGTCAAATTCAATAATTTTTATTTGATTTTTTATTTACAAATAATGATAAATGCTCTTTGTACTATTTATTTTTTCACTTTAAAACTTTTTATTTGATTTGATAAAGTTGAGTCTCATTTTTTTAATTAAAATAAAAAATATTTTATCTAAATTTTTTAACTAATTATTTAGTAATATGTCATTTTCATAAGGAAGGCATTGGGTTAGGTTCGGGGCGGGTTTTGCTCGCTTTGAACCCGACCCGATTTTATGCTTATTAAACCCGAACTCGATCTGATCCGAATTTTTTTAATACCCGAATCCGACCCGATCTGACACTATGTAATCGTACCCGATCCGATCTAAAATTAATAAAATATTATTTTTTAAAATATAAAATATTATTTTTAAAATATAAATATTTAAAAATATTATTATATAAATAATATTTATATAAATAATTAATTAATTAATTAAAAAATAATTTTTTAATAAATGTCGGGTCGGGTTTTAGACATACCCGAATCCAACCCGACCTCGATCGTTACCTAATTTACTCGACCCGACCCCCACCCGAAACCCGAAATTCAAAAAAAAAAAACCCGACCCTATAGGGTCGGGTAGGGCCGAAACCCGTCGGGGACGGGCTTGATTGCCGTCCCTACCTTTTCAGCATTAGAATTGCAAATTCCTCAATATGATTGACAAGATTAATTTTTACGTAAGGAGTAGTGAATTTTTCATTTAAATAAATTTTAAAATGCAATTATATTAAAACTTAAGAACTTGTTACTCTCTTTATCTTTGTGTATTTTTGTTTTTATGTATAAAACATAATTTGATTAAAAGTTTCACAAATAATATTAAGATTAAATCTTAATAGAGCAAAATCACTTAAATATAACTAATATAAACCAATTTTAAAGAATTTTAGTCCTAAAAATATTTTTATAATGAATTCAACTATAATATTTGGCATGAGTGAATTTTCTTGGATTCAACTCCTCACAAGTAAGTCCCTTAAAAAATATAAATTTAAGTGGTGGAGGTCGGGGCTTTGGTATAAAACATAATTTGATTAAAAGTCTCTTTATATTGTAAGAATTCATAATGCATCTTATTACTCATATTAAAATTTTTTTTACACTTAATTTTGCATTTGTATTTGCTAATATATAATTTGTACTATTTGTAATAGTAACAAGATATTCTTCTCTCTTTAAATAAATAAAACACATCATTTATTAAAAAATAAAATTTAAAGAGAATAATATGTGATACAAACAATATTTTTTTCATCATTAAATAACTAAAAGAACAATAAAGCTAACATTTATATTCAAATTGTCCTTGTAGGCTTGATCGTAACATTTCAATTTAAAACATTTTAATTGAATTTATCCTATTAAACTCAAATGGACTTTGATTTGGGTTGATCATCTTTGAATATTTTTTATAGGCTCGTACCTAATTCAGTTTCATTATTGGATGAATTTTGAATTAAAATTTAAAAGCTTAATTAAAAATTTCAAAGTTTAATTGTGAGTCCAAATCCATTTTAAAGCCAATCTCAATTTTTATTAAAATTAACTAAATTAATTACGTAATTACAAAAAAAAAAGTCAACTGCCTTTGTCTCATCTCTTGTCAACCTCATTTATTTTTGTTCATTTGTTTCCAACTTTTCAATTTCCCCTTTCATTTTACCCCTCATAACTTAACACGAATTGATGAAAAATAAAAGACAGCAAAAACTACCCCAGCTCATCACTTTACCTCCCCAAATACAACAATACACACAACATCCATTGCGGCAACAAGAGTTCAAAATGCCATTTCCCATGCTGAGATTTTTTATCATATCAGGAATTGAATTTAAAGAGCAGGGATTTCGCAAAAAAAAAAAGGAACTCAAAAACAATAATCCTAGGCCACTTTCTACTGCATTTGCCATCGACACCATTACAACCACCCAAGAAACACCAAAGCCCCGACCTCCACCACTGCCTAGAGCCTAATCCACAGCCTCACCGAGACATCACCAGAGAAGCTTCTACTCATCCAACTGCCTAACCGAACCAGAACTCCTCTCCACAAGCCACTACCATTGCCCCATCGACCAACCGAACCACCAGTAATATCACAAGCCAAGAGCCCCCATATCCCCATTTTTGGCCAAAACACAGCTCCCATCACCCAAGCACCCTCAGCCGAGAGTTCCCCCTCCCATTCAGCAACCACCTATCCCAAACAACCAGAAGCTCTCCCATTCACTAACCTTGCCTCGTACCCCTACACAATCAACATCAAAAAACAGAGCCACCCACTACCAACAATAACCAAACCGAAAATCACAACAAACAAAACCACAGTCCTCCCCTTAGGGAGGAACCTCAGTCAAAGTCACAAAATACAAAAAAAAAAAAAAAGTCACAAAAGTACAACGGCTGCCAGTATAAAAAAAAAGAAAAGAAACAAACACAAGCAAAATCTGAGGGTGAGTGTTTCAGGCATAAGGGGGCTCTTTTTTGGGAATCAGGGGTGCATCAGAATTTGAAGAGAGAGAAAAAGGTAGTTTTTGAGCAGTGATGGCGGATGGTGGTGAGTCATGGTGGCGGCATAGGGTGGTTCAGCAGTTGTGAGGATGTTTTTGGGAAATCCAAAGTGGTAGAGATGAAGAGCATGAAGAGAAGAAGAACATATACTCTGGTTTCAAAAGGATCGGACGGTGGAAGCCTGCAGTTTCATAGAGTTTTGGCCAAAATTTTAAGGATAGATCTAGGCTTCTTGAGGCGTTTTTAAGGAAAACTAAGCTCGGAATGGTGATTAGGGGGTTGAGAAGAGCCTGCAACGTAATTTTAGGACCCAAGAGATGCCAGCCGACGGCGGCGGCTTGTCGGATTCTAGGCAAACGAGGGGTTGCTGGATTTGCGTTTAAAACAATTAGCAGTGAGCTTTTTTTTTTTTAAGGAGGAAAGATGGAATGAAATGAAAAAGAAATTGGGTTTTTATAGTTTAAAAAAAGAGCGAGTCAACCCGACCCGTGACTCGCCAAACTAACCCGTGCCTAACAGTATTAACCGACCCGTTCAACAACCTAGCCCGCTTGGATCCTTCCTTGATAGCTGGACTCTATTTGCTTGGCCTAATAAGCACATGATTTGGGGTTTCAGCGTAAAGCTCTGTTTGTTATAATTTTAATATATTTTTAGACTTTTTATTGGAATATTGTTTATATTACTCATGTCAATAATATTTTTATAAAATATGCATGTTTTAAAATAATAAATAATGCTTAAGAAAATAAATATTATAGATAATTATATATTTTTGTGAGAATTTATATTATTAAATATTTAAAGAAAATAAAAAATTTTTTGATATGATATTTTAAGAAAATTCAAATAGTGATTTTTTAAAATTTTTAGATAATAAGATTTTTTTAAAATATTAATAACGTATTTAAATATTTATAAAAATTTTCAATAAAAAATCTTTCTTCTATAAAATATTCATAAAATATGAAAAAAAGAAAAAATTAATAAAGAAATCTTTTTTTAAAAAAAGGATAAATAATTTATAAATAAAATAAAATAAAAGGTAAATGCACATATAATAGATGCATACTGTATGAATATTATGTTTCATTATTTGCATTGCATTTATATCACTAAATTATAAAAAAAAAATAGATGCAAACTTCTAAGGATAAAACATTAAAAAAATTTAAGTAATGATTCTTTAAGATCTCTAGTGAAAAGTTTTTTTAAATGCTACTAAAGTATTGAAGTATTTTAAAAAAATTCAAGACAAAGAAGTTATCATTTATTTATTTTTTAATTTAAAAATAAAAATAATAATAAAAGAAAAGATTAAAAAAAAAGATTACGTATAACAATGTGTGAATATTAATTGCTTTAATTAAAAAATAAGAGCCTTCAAAGATAACATTCTAAGAAAATTTTAGTAGTAATTTTTATAAAATCTTTTGGTGAGAAAAATTTTCTTAGTTATCGCATATTAGAACATTTTTAATATTTTAATTTTGTATAAAAATTCAAACGAGTTTGTTCCATAAAATAAATTTTTAAAATTTTCACAGACAAACAAATTCTTTATACTTTTAAAAACACCTTTTAAATTAATGAATTTGTCATGATCATAAAATTATATACAATACATATCAAATAAATATTAATAATTAATTATGATAATTAATTCTTGAAAGTTCAATTTACAAAATTAAGTCTGTCAAGTGAAGAACAATGAACCCTTTATTTAATATCAATTGAAGAGCATGATCTATCATTTGCAATCTAATGATACAACTGCAGGAACACCGGACCAATTCTCAATCTGATACTATACAATTCCATGTTATCGATGCTTATAAATTTCATACTTTGGTTTCCAGGCTTCAGAGTATAAATTTTTTATTTTTACAAAAAAAAAAAAAAAGCTGTAGCATGAAGACAGGAAATGGGAACTGTTAGAAAGTATTGGGATTCAAACTCCAAGTATATTAAATGCCATCTTTCATAGATAACTGTATGAACAAATAGACATAAATTTCAGCTTTATAATTTAAACAATTTTGGAAAATAATTGATTGCATAAAGTTAGAATTTTCGACCATAAACTCATTTAATGATTTTGAAGGTAGCAATCTGTTCAAATTGCATGAAGGCAAGGATAGGAATAAGAGCCTTTGAGGCTTCGAATTTCGAAAAAGGTACCAGTTAAAACTTAAAAGTCTTAGATTTGGGCTGTCATATTTGAATCAGGCTTGATGAAAGCTATATATACATATATATGAAGCAAACAAACTTATATTTGAGATCAACGATCCGCACTCCTGCAATAAGCCAAAAGATTTTAGCAGTAACTAGGTTCTAACACGGGAGGTCTCTAAAACCACCATTATTACATAACAAAAGGCTCAGAGCAATTCTCATACAAACTGCTAAAATTTGAACAGAAATCAGTGAGCATCCCCTATTACATTGAGACTATTAAAACTGTCTGCAAACCGAAAATCAACCAGCTTTTCCTAAATCATGATTGAAAGTACTGCACTAGAATTGCTAGCATCACTTTGGTCCCCCTTCTTCCCGAGAAATACATCAGTGAGCACGGTCTTGGACTGCAAAGATGCCTTCAGCAATTTCACACCCTATTGCAGAAAAGCAAGTTTAAGCCAATCTTTTATCATCAATGAAAGAGTGCCACATCCTAAAGTTTTCTAATTTCACGTGAAAAATTACATCTCGGGTAATTAAAAAGAGATAATATCACTAATGATTTCATAATTATAATGAAAGCTACTTGTCGATCACATGTTATCATTGGGAACTAATAATTTTAAGAGTGTAACAGATGAGTATTATATTAGTTAATAAATTTATAATTTATATATTATATTAGAGATTTTTAAAGTTGAAGTAATGTATTAAATATTTTACCATAGTTCATAGTTAGTAAGGCATTCAAGACATTAACCCTACTTAAAATTAAGGCAACAAAAGAAATGGGGTAATTTCTTACCTCATCCGCCCCTATATCAATCACTTTCTCTTCAAGAGCCCCTACATCCTTGATATTGAACTGGTTGAGTAAAGTGATACAAGAAATAGTTGACATAGGCCTTACAACCAAATCATCCATGATCATGTAAGTTATAACCCCTTTGACATAACCTCCTTCATCACATGATGAAGCCTTCTTCGTTGGTGGATTGACAACGGTTGCGATTTGGCTCATAATATTGTTGCAGGAAGGACAAATGGAGTTCGAATCATTTGCCACATAGATACCACAGCCGCTACGATGGTAACTATTGCCACAGTTATAAATGTTGGTGGATGTCAGCGGTTGAATGTTTGGCAGCAAGGATGGTAAATTTGCAGCATAATCGGAAACTTTAGGCTTCAAAAGGGTGTCTTTATTCGTCATTGGCTGCAGGTAAGTATCGCTCAGATTTTCAAGGCTCTCGTAAAGGTTTCCGAGGCAACCGACCATGTCTTGTTTGGTGAGAAGCCCTATGACAGTGCCTAGAGGCAATGACAGAATGTTGAACAGAAAATCAACAAAATCTTTCCCAGCTTCAGCAAAAAGAACTCTTTGGCTTGTTGAGTCAACCAGAAGGTTCAAGCTGACAGTGGTGGGAGCCATTACAGGACCACTGTTGTAAGGACTTTCAGAGATCTTTACTACAATTACTCTTGTTAAATTTTGCGGAGTTTATGCTCTATATTTAAAGCAACCAAGGACACATATAGAGCAACCATGAGTTGCAAGGGATTCTTTCCCCTACTTCCAAGTCTCCTATATTTCTTTTTTCTTTTAAACAAACGAGGTCACAACCTCGGATAAGTAAGTGATTGCGAGTACTGGATACCATCTTTTAAGGCAAATGCATGAACCATTAAACTAATTAACACGACAAGTATAATTTTTAGATTACTAATAAGCTATACTAATATTTTTAAATTTTCTATTTTGTTTTTCCTGATTTCGATCTGGGGAAGGCAGATTCGAAACCTGCTGAAAGAGCAGAGGATAAATTCACCAACCATTGTGCAAACATTTCAATCATCTTCCCCTGAAGAGATCTGCAACCTCCAATAGCAGGAAATCAAAACATTGTTTAGAACCCAAGAATGAGGTTATAAGTAATGGTTTGAGTATTTGATATACAATTGGACTGACATGCTTGAAATTTAGTTTACATAACCAAAACAAGGTAGCAACAGAACCAATTATTTATATCAATTGAAGAGGCACAATTGCAAGAACACCAGACCACTTCTCAGCTTGATACTTGCTGGTTTCAATGTTTAAAATGTGCTATTTCAATCCTGTTTTTCAAAAAAATTGAAATAATTTGAAAGTTTAAGTCAAATAGAATTCACTAAATAGGTTTAGACTTCAAAGGACTCTAAAACCAGATAAAGATAGATAACAAGTTTCCCCAATTACATAACAAAAGGCTCAAAGCAAGTCTGTCTGAACTGCTACAAGTATGAACTTTGACCATATACCAACAAGCATCTACTCCTACGCTAAGATTCTTACTGTCTGCGAATCTAAATCATGTTCCTAATTCACAACTGCAATGGCAGTAAGCACCGCCTTGACATTAAACTTGTTGAACAAAAATGGGACTTTTTTTGAGTTGTACCATAAGTTTCAAGCTAACAATGGTGGAGGCCGTGACAAGAAACATAATTGTATGAAAAAAAATGGGCCTTTTTTGTTCAATAATGTAGCTTATGTTATTTTATAGTTCATCGGAAGTAATCAAGGATCACAGCGAAATGACAGTGGCTAAAGCAAACACGAATTTTAAATTTGGTATTTCAAAATTTTCAACTGAAATTGATAGTCTGATCAACAAGAAACGGCCCTATACTCAAAATTTTTAACTAACTGAAATTGATAAGCTGTTCAATCAGAGACAACACTCCAAGCACACTGTAATCCTTAGTAAAAGGCAAGAGAATTGTTCATTTTGTGCTCACCGCAAGACTCCGTGATCTACCCATTCCAGTAGCGATTTTATTTATAGAAGTAGGTTAAGGTTCACTTTTTTGTCTCTTGGGAATGTGGGGTTCTGTTCTACTCTTAGCTGTTGCAATTGTCCACTCTTCTGGTAAGCCACACACTTTTTTAACTCATTTTCTCTTTCATGCCATTTTTTTTTATATATATAAAATACGGTACCTTTAAACTTGTACCATTTCTTTTTCTCCCTTATTGAAGTATTTCTTCCTCAAGTCATCATTTTCATCATTGAATTTGAATGTAATGAAAAGGGTTGTTGAAAAACTTCTGTGCTGACTTAGCCAAGTTCAAATCCTTATAAAATATATAGTACTTTTTTTGAAATAAAAATATAGTTCATTTAAACACTAGGTTTTCGTTGTCTCTTTAACATAGTTAACCAATGGATTTAAGCTATGGAAAAGCCATAAAGACAGGAATATTTTAGCAAGCAGCCATGTAATTTATTGATTAAGTGCCAAATTTTTAGTTTTAATTATCAAAACTGAAATATTGACATCTTCAAATACCAAAAAAAAAAATAGACTATGGCAATCTTAGAGAAGGATCAAGATCAAACTTAGCCAAGTTACTAATGGGCAAATATGAACTTTTAATAATTGATGCAAGTTCACGTATATTTATAATATTAATATTTTTATGTGTTTTTTTTAATCCTTTTTAAAGTAAGAATAAAAAAAATTCTATTATTATAAGTTATCGCTTTATTTCATATATTAAACTATAAGTGATAATAAAAGAAAAGGAACTATTTAAGATGTTTTGAGAAAAATTGATTTACAAATTAAATATGAAAATAAATTAAATTAATCATGAGTTTTCTGAAATTAACATTAAACCCTTAGAATCAAATTGAGTTTATATATATACATATATATTTATAGATATATATATTATATATATATATATAATATATATATTATCGACCTTTTGTTTTGCTCAAAAGAGTTTTTTATCATATAAATCAATATTCTAAGCCCTATTTTAATTAAAAAAATAAATGCATAAGATGAGAAATAAAAAACATTTATTAATCAAATTAAGATATTGTCTTATAAATAGTAAATTGCAAAGAATATGTAAAAAATAAATAAAATTTATTTCAAGTTTTATAGGATTTATCAATGTTATATTGAATCCCTTAGCTTCTATTCAGATTCATATGTTGTGTAAATACTTTTTCAAATAGTTTTTATGCGTATTTTTATCTTTTTAAAAGAAAAAATTATATAAAAATTCTATTATTAAATTCTTCCTTGAAGCCCATGTTTTAAGCAATAATTGTACAAAAAAACAAATATATTGATTTTTATTAATCAAGTTAAGTTATTATTTTGATAAAAATATTAAATTTAAAAATAGTAAAATAAATAAATTGGGTCGTAAGATTTATGAACCCTATATGTATTTAATATTAAATTTTTACTTTTTCTTTTTGTATGTTTGTGCCTTCTAAAAGCAAAAATTTACAAACAAAAAATTTTATTATTATAATTAAATCATTACTACTCAATGCCCTTGTTTAATGAAAGAATATAGTGAAATGAAGTAAAAATAACCATAAATATTCTAACTAAATATTTTGATGTAATTTTATTCTATCTAACAAATCTCATCCTCATACTATAAAAATTGGAAGAAAAAAGTGTGATAGAGATAGAGCAACCAAAGCTCTATATTTAACGCAACCAAGGACATAGATACAACAATCACGAGCTGTAAGGGATTTTTTTTTTTTTTTAACAAATGAGGTCACAACCTAAAGTAAGTGATTGCGAATATTGAAATTTGAATATATATCAAAGCTATTGGGTGTCATTTTTTAAGGTAAATGCATAAACCATTAAACTAATAAGACAAGTGGTATAATTTTTAGATTACATATAAGCTATACTATGACCTAATATTTTAAACATTTCTATTTTCTGTTTCCCGTTTTTGATTTGGGGAAGGGAGATTCGAAACCTGCTCAAAGAGCAAAGGATAAATTCACCATCCATTGTGCAAACTTTTCAATCATCTTTCCTTGAAGAGATCTGCTACCTCCAATAGCAGGAAATCAAAACATTGTTTAGACCCCAAGAATGAGGTATAATTAATGGCTTGAGGATTTGATATAACCAAATAGGTTCCAGTTATACAATTGGACTGACATGCTTGAAATTTAATTTACAAAACCAAAACAAGTTAAGGACAGAACCCATTATTTATATCAATTGAAGAGACACAACTGCAAGAACACCAGACCACTTCTCAGTTTGATACTTGCTGGTTTCAATCCTGTTTTGCAAATGTTGAAATAATTTGAAAGTTTAAGTCAAAAAGAATTCACTAAATAGTTTTAAACTTCAAAGGACTCTAAACCAGATAAAGATAGATAACAAGTTTACCCAATTACATAACAAAAGGATCAAAGCAAGTCTGTCTGAACTGCTACAAGTATGAACTTTGAACATTGACCAACAAGCATCTACTCCTACACTAAGATTCTTACTGTCTGCAAATCTAAATCATACCAGCACTTCCTAAATCACATCTGCAACAGAAGTAAGCACCGCCTTGACATTGAACTTGTTGAACAAATGGGACTTTTGTTTGAGTCATACCGTAAGTTTCAAGTTAACAATGGTGGAAGCCATAACTAGAAACATAATTGTATGAAAAAAAAATGAGACTTTTTCGTTCAATTTTGCATCTTATGTTATTTTATAGTCCATTGACAGTAATCAAGGTTCATAGGGAAGCGACGATGGCCCAAGAAAATACGAAATTTTACTTTGATATTTCTAAATTTTCAACTAAAATTGATAGGTTGTTCCAGACAATGGCCCAAGAAAATACAAATTTTTAATTTGGCATTTCTAAATTTTTAACTAAAATTGATAGGCTGTTCAACAAGGAACAACCTTCCAAAAATAAGCGTATGCCGCTAAATGCGGTGAGCGCACGGTATTCCTTAGTAAAAGGCGAAAGAATAATTCGCTCTGTGCTCACCGTACGGCTCCGTGCTCTATCTCATTTGTTTGTCTCTTGGGAATATGGGGTTCTGTTCTACTCTTAGCTCTTGCAGTTGTCCACCCTTCTGCCAAGCCACACACTTTTCTAATACATTTCCTCTCATTTTTCATGCTTTATTTTATAAAATATGGTACCTTTAAACTTGTAACATTTATTTTTCTCCTTTATTGAAGTATTTCTGCCTGAAGTCATCATTTTCATCACTCAATTTGAATGTGATGAAAAGGGTTGTTGAAAAACTTCTTTGCTAGCTTAGCCAAGTTCAAATCCTTATAAAATATTGTAGACACCCAATTTGGTCCAGGCCTGGATCAATTGGGTCTGTCCAATAGGGTCAATAAACCCAAAGACTTAGGCTTTATTTTATTTTATTTATTGATTTATTGATTTGTTTTTCTTTTAAAATTTTTTTCAAATTAATTTTCGATTATTAGATGGTGATAATAGTTAGAAAAATTAAAAATAAAAATGGGAATGAATTCTGCCGTGAATGAGGCCATTAGAGAATCATAGTTGGATTAAACTAGCTCAGTGACTAATCTGAAAATTCATAAACCTAATCAGAAAGGGAATTCAGATTAATCAGGGATTATAAGATTGATTCTATAAATACCTATTGATCCAAAGCAAAAAAAAAAAAAAACACACGGAGAGAAAAGCAAAAAAGGCATTTAGAAGGTTCAAAAGTGATCTTAAGATTTTTAGGAATTTTTGGCAATTTTTTTCTGGGAAATTTCTGGAAATTCCATATTTTTGTTGAATTTTCCAACGATATTTGAATTTTTTGATGACTTTTTCAGTGTCGGTTGAATTTTTTGACCAGTTACCCAGTTTTCGACATAACATTTCTACAAAC